GAAATATTTGCACAGAGGAAGCCTAAAATATCAAAAGAGCAACTTTCTTGTAAAAATTACAATAGCAAAAGGCATGCTTTTTGTACGATTGTTAATTGTAGATATGACAATTTTTAAAGTTTTATTGCACAATTAATCAAAAATATAAAGCCGGTTCTGACATCAGTATTGTTCTTCAGTAAATCGTAATAAGTAAGGGCAATACAAAGAGTAGTCTGCTTTCCACAAATATGTGGAATTTGGCTAGTTTTCTGTTTTTTAATCAAACAAAATGTCACAGTTTGAATGCCTGTTACAGGATTGTGCATTCTCACTCCCTCAATTTTTGGAGAGTTCAAGAATTGGGAGTCCAAGACTACCATCCTTGAGGTTACTTAGGCTTTCAGATCCTTTTATGCCCTGACAGAAGAGTATTCCAAACACAAATGTTTCTGTATGCTTTTCAATGGGGTACTGTTATATGCAGAAAAATGTTCTACGTATAAAATCACCTTGGCACCTACTCCTGACTCGCTTATTTACACCACCTGCCTATAAAGACTTACAAAGGACAAATGTGTTGCTTCATAATGTGAACATTCCCCTCCTCCCTCCCCTCTCCCCTTGACTACATTAGGCAAAGCATTTGGATTCCGCTATCATACTTGGTGGAAAATCATTCCCAGTATACACATAATTATACAAACATATGGCAATGTTTTACGATTTAAAACAACTGGTCCAGTTACTTTTTCTGATCCACAAAATGGTTTCATTCAACCTCAAGGTAATTTCAGTCCAGATGATTACTTTCATATGTTTAAGTCGGTTTGAAGCAAAGAAAAAAAATACACGAATTCCTCTACAGGAATAGTCAGCTCTCTGCAAGGACACTGATAATCTGCTTATTATTTACCCCTCCCCTGAATACCATACTCTTAATTAACCATACTTGTTTCCAAAATTATTTTGCTGGCGAGACACACAGACAGCGTTCTGCTTTTAACACTTGGGTATGTGGAGTGGGTGGGCCAAGTAGCAAATTGAAAGGCTGTGGTACTGAAGGCGGAGGAAAAAAATTATATGATTATACAATATATGGAGAAAGAGAGGAAGGCAATAGGTCTTAGATTAGAATTTGGAGCCAGAACATCCAGTTTGTCAGCCAATGAGATTGCCAAACTCTTCCGTTTTGTTTGAAAGTTAGAAAGCAACGAAAAGAAAACCAGAAGTAACAAGTGGCCATTTTATAAGAACATAAGCACTGCTCTCTTCAAAAGTTCCAAAAGAAACTCCTATCTTGGAACATACCCCACTAGTAAAAAATTCCAACATGATTCACAATACAGCTCAAGATAATGAAGGAACATAGGAAAACAGGAACCGGAGAAGGCCATTCAGCCTACTGAGCCTATCAATTGTCACATTAGTGGCTCGGTCTACACCAGATCTGGAGATCCCTAACCTAGCGATTAAATTGGCGTCTATTCATTGCTTGAAGCTACAGCAATCAACAAGCCTAAGGCTGGTCTATCTCTTGTATTCTTTGTTGCCTTCTGAAGTAAACTATATACAAAAAACACACTTTGCTTAAGATATTTTGTGAAGTGAAGAAAATAAGAAATATCACAGAATTTAAATTGATGCAAAATATTAATGATGGAGAACATTTATACATGTTTGTTTATATCAATCTACAGTTCCTCATTAATACATATTTCGAGTTAATAAAACAGAACCACTGTAAAATAAATCAAACCTGTCCATGAGTGATAGCTCAGTGCTTCAGCAAACAACTGGAGTTGTGTTGCTGAATGGGTGAGAATATGCCTGAGCACAACACACCTGCAATGCGTAAGCTGTACAATGTTAGTTCTCCCCTGTGTCCAAGTAGAAAGTAAAACTAACAAAACAATCTCTTCTCATCTCAACAGCAGATACATGTGACATACATTTCATTCGAACAATCTCTTTTGAGTAACCGATTCAACTATAGGATCTTTAAATTCAGTAATAAATCAACACAAACCTGACTACTGGAGAGGTTAACATGCTGTTCCCTATTTGACTTCTGTATTTAGCAGTGGAAGGATGAATATCTGGTTGTACATTTGTACAGAATGTTTTAACTGCAAGAATCTTAATCATAAGTATTACTTGATACTCGGGTTTATATTAACAAATTTAACATGGGTATTGTTCAAAGAAGCTTGCTTTAATCTGAAAAGCGTTCTACGTTAGAAACCATTCCAATTGAAGGCATCTTCAAAAGTCAGTGTCACCAGTTTAGTTGCATTCCGGGAGGGTTGGGGGGTGCTAGCAGTCATTGTATTAAAGTGAAGCTTCTTTTAAAATGTTAACATGAGTCCCAAACTCTACATTTATCAATTTTATGTGCAATTTATATTTCAGTAGATCATAGATGTAACTGATTAAGAAATATTCAAAGCATAGTAGTGACACAACTGTTTTCAATTTGACTCCTGTGCTGATTTATTCTGCTGGGAGTAAAGCTTTGCTTCCTGGGGTGCAATGATGGAGTGGTGTACTGCTCTATCTGCGTTCCTTTCATTTAGGCCAGAATACCTAAAGAGTGTGTTTGTTTTTTAATGTTATTTCAGTCTAGCCTGACCCTTGTGAATGACTGTTTTGTTCGAATCTCTTCCCTTTTCTCCTCTCCTCGCGTCTCCTGAGGGCAGTGCCTCACTCTACAGTTCCACAGGCACACACAGCTTTGCTTCCAGCATCAGAACACTGTGTAGCAGCAAGCCCCGATTTATACTCATGATAATACTGGGGGTTAGGTGGCGGGGGAGGGGTGATGACGTTAAAGAGCTAACACCCATTTTTGCAGCTATGCATGCTGAGAATTCTGAAACTTTAAAAAATATATTATTAAATAGCCACTTACATAACTGAATTTAATAACATCCAAAACAGGTCTTTTGGCCTGCAAGTTCTTTGGCCTTTCAATGGGCTGTTTGTTAGTTTTTCAGGAGATCAAGAGCAGCCTGGCCCATTTGAATTATGCTCACTGTAATTATACTTCAATGGTGTTAGAATATACACTTTTTGTACACTGCTAGAATCATAATAGATGTTGTGAATGGGTTAACTTTTGAGCAAGTTGCTTAAACTAGAGGACCTTGGTACCATCCTGGGATACTGATAAGAAATAACCAGTCACTTAAAAGGAATGTACTAATGATCCCACACCACAAAATAATAAGCACCAGATACAGCCCTAAACTGATCAATCCTCTATCTTAGACAATTAAGGACAATGTGTATGTGTGCTGAGGCACGTACACCCCATGAGGTGTTCACGTGAACCCAGCATGATTTCGGCCAGGTGATCTAATGTCCACACCATGATTGGACGAACATCGGTATAAGAGTTCTGATAACTTTGTGAACGGGGCCATCCCGGGCTGCAGAGACAAGGGTACGGGAGATGGGGCTATCCCGGGTCGCGGAGACAAGGGTATGGGAGATGGGGCTATCCCGGGTCGCGGAGACAAGGGTATGGGAGATGGGGCTATCCCGGGTCGCGGAGACAAGGGTACGGGAGATGGGGCTATCCCGGGTCGCGGAGACAAGGGTACGGGAGATGGAAGATTATTGAAAGCTGTAAGCAAGAAGGCTGAAAGCATGAAGAATCAAGCTTGTGTGCTGTAAAGAAACAGTGTTGAACTCGAGATATCTACGGTGGTATTTTTTATAGATCTGTTGATTGTACCGGCCTTTGGTCTGACCCATCGGGATATTGGGGAATAACAAACGAATAATAATAAAACAGTCTGATATCTGGTTACAAACGGATTATGGCTGATTTTATTTTCTAAAATGGCAGGGCTCCCTCTCCTGAAACCACCTCCTCAACCCTGATCTACATTGCCTGCTTTGTGGTAAATCAATAGACCACTGCAAAACATGTAGTACAAAATCCAGCATTATAGTGAGTGAAAATTGGAGATTGATAATTTTCAATGAAACCTAAGTTTTAAATGAAAGAAAATAGTGGTTAATGGAGCTTATACTACATATCTAGAGATGAAGTGAAATGGAATGCATTGAAACATAGTTCTCTTTTGTCAACGACACATTCCTGGTTAGCAGCTGGAGTCGCTACATGTGACATATGTGTGACCCGTTAAATATATTTCATTATAAACCATATTATACTTCTTAGCTTTGCAGTGATTGAGTTATTACAAATTATTATTCAAGCTGTATTTAGCAACCTTTTGCCACAATAGTGCTGTTGATAACAACTTAGATATTTCCCTATCCCTTGTATACAAACTAATATGTTATCAACAAATCTTCCTAAATTTAACAAAAAGAAACATTAACTAAATAATGGACACATGTTAAACTGAAGCTGAAAGCAAATGAAGAACAGGAAAAAAACAATGAAACATGGAGTTGGAACAAGACATTAAAGGATGAGGGTAAAGATGGGAAATTGAATATGAAGAAAAATGAAACAAGATGCAATGACGTAACAAAGTAGAGGAAAACAAGAGGTGAATCAAAATGCAATGATGTCATTCTGTTTGTGGTCTATGATGAAGGGCACTGTATAACTGGATGGGAGGGATTGGTGTTGCCTGTTTTAATAGGGCATGATGGGTTGTGGGGAGATCCACCTCCTCAAAATGTATTGCTTACACGCAGAAATATTATCACATATTCAGTGTTTAAGATGCCTTTTCGGATTCTCTGAAATGTTAACATTTCTCACCACCTTGTTTTGGAGCACGGATCAAAGGTTTCCTGACTATGACTCAAAGAATTCAGGCTGAAGAAAACTTCTGTTCAGAATAGAAAAGCCAAACACTGAAGATTAACACTGCAGGTGGTTAAAAGTCACTTTCAATTTCCATTCAAAACACAGTTTTGAGATGTGTATGCATTAATCAGAGCACTGCTGTTGGACCTCAAAATTGCAGAACAGGTGGTCCTGGATCCAACCTATGGCTGACACTAGTACTGCAGGCTAGTCATAAGGTACTCACAGTTTTGGTTTGGCAAATACTGGTGGGGGTTCTTTTGTTGGTGAATTTAGCCCTTGTGCTGATGTCCATATATTCTGTCCATTTGCTGCATGAAGCCCAGTAGCAAACATATCCTCGAATGAAGGCTCGCTTCCTCTATCATCTTCAGGCAATTTGAAGTGCACACGCAGATGAGCTTTAGGCTTATGGTCGTGGTGGTTCACAAGAACTCCTTCCAGTTTGGGCTTCAGGAGGACAGTAGGTTTTGACATGCTCACTTCTTGCTGGGCTGGCACAGAATGCTCAATGGCTTCAACAGTCACAGTGCTCACAGCATTCAAATTAATAGCATTACCATCATCAATTCCTGTAAATCGTTAGGAAATATTATATAGGAAGTAAGGCATTGGATATTGTGCTATTTTTCTGCACAATAAATATAGATTACAATGTTGCTGCTGTAGGTTTCAAATTGAGCAATATAAAGTTTGTGATAAGAATTTGTGGAGCAATATTAACCGAATTACAACAGAATAAAATGAAGCAGCTTCATAATACCATGATCTTGCATACTAATCTTATGTAGGATTTAACCAGAATTATGATGTATTCCATACAGGAGTTCCTTAATCCAATGCAGTAAGATCACAGACTGGAACAGCAGTTACCTAATTTAAAATATGCTGGGATAAAAAAAAAGTATATTTGCATGCTTCACTGTTTGCCTGAAATAACTCCTTTTTACTGATGCCATTTGCCTACAAAATGCACAGTCATTAAACTTTACACTAAACTATGTGGTGCACTTTGAGACGTTCTACAAACATAAAATGCACCATATCAAATCCAATAAAATTCTTATTAATAAAATGTATTTTTTAACTTTATATTGCATTGTTGTTCAAAACAGATAAAATCCACAACCGCATAAATTATAATAAAAAATGCTTTAAAAAGTCAGTATCGTAGAAGTATGTTTACCAATTTAAGTTCAAATACACGCATAATTTAAAAAAAAACTGGACCTGTGACTGTGAGATGGGCAGTGCTGGATACAGTGCCATATTTGTTGCTTGCTGTACAAGTAAATGTCCCAGAATCTTCAGGGAAAGCCTCAGCAATGACCAGTGTACAAATTTCCTCTGCAGATAATGAATAAATATTACCAATACAACAACAACAACAAAATTACATTTATGGAGCGCCTTTCACATCGGGAGGATGTCCCAAAGCGCTGAACAGTCAGGTGTCGGGGCCCGAGCATGGGGGAGGAGGGGTGTAAGGGTGAGGGAAGGCGGAGAAGTGGAAGGAGACCAAAGGCACAGTCGAAAAGAAGAGTCTTGAGACCGGACTTGAAAGAGGCAAGGAAGGCGAAGGGACCGTGGGATGGCGTTCCAGAGTGTGGGGGCAGAGAGGCTGAAAGCCCGGCCACCGATGGTTGGGCGGGTTGGGCGGGAGACATGGAACAGGCCGGAGCCCGCTGAACGGAGGGAGCAATATGTAACAAAAACCTATTTCAAAAAGAACTTTTAGCTGTTTTATGACCGATCCCAAAATGAAACAGTCCCAGTAAATGCCACATGTACTTGTAAATGTTTAGCAGCATAATATGCCAACTCAATACGCTTGAACATTATTTAAGAACAGTCACAACTTATACAGTAGAAATTGAATCTCACAATACAAAATGGGTGCAGATATTGAGAAGGAAGGGGGGCAAAAAATTGGAGGAGAAATGTCAGCGGAAAATAGAAATCTTAAAAGGTAAGCGCTGCTGTGTATTCTTTATATGAATATTTATTTCAAATAAGCTCACCTGTGTGAAAGATACAATCTCTCAGCCAGTGAATATATTGTTTGTTACTAGTTTCACAGGAAAGCAAAATCTTTTGATCTAATGGACAAGTTTTTCCACATGCTTCTCTGTGAACTTTTATGTGTAATCTTAAATCAAACAGGGGAAAAAATATTCATATGGCCACACATTACTAGACCCAGATGTGGTAACTTTTGGTATGTAGATCTTAAACAAATACCATTAGAAGAAATACCTGGCAGTGTTTCAACGTCTGTAATTAATTTTGCTCAATACAGCCCTAATAGGAGTATATATGAACTGTAGGATGATTGTTTTAGTAGGAACATAGTCTTTCTGAATTCCACCAGACTGGAAACTCTAAAGTGTCTTTAATAAATTGGATGCTGGAGTTAGCATTAACTGTATTTCAAAATATTTCATTAACTCAGGTTATAATTAAAATCTATCAAGATGGTTATGTTAACTGAAGAATTTTGAAAACTTGAAGATATTACATATACATATAAAGTTTACATACACAAAGGAGACAGAACCAGAGGTGTAAGCGAGGATTAGGAAGGGTGGAGGCTCCTGTTGAGTATAAATACTGAAACAGTCTATGTAATTCAATGAATTCTACGTAGTAACTTATTTAAAATGTTGTCGTATTGTTTCGTTACTTTAGCTTTTCAGCTATGTTTTTCTAATAATTTCCCATTTAAGAATCAGTAGTGTTGTGTAATTCTACATTAATAAATTATGTTTCTGAAGCACCCGTAGACCTCGAAGAGAAATCAAACTATTTAATTATAAAGTAACTGTTTCTTTGAGATCTAAACTAAATACTTAGTATATTCTGTGAAGCACTTTGAGACATCTTGAAGACATGATAAGGCGCTATATCAAATGCAAGAATTATTATTATTAGCTACTTATTCCAGAAGATATTTGAGCTGTTTCAACTGAACAGCTGAACAGGATTTGCAATTTCCTCCTTCAAGAGGGGACACATGACCATTCATCTCTCACAAACACCTGGGAAGGGCTCACTAGGTGAAGAAGGTTTAAACCAACTCTATTTGTTCTCCTTATCAATGCCCTGACAAAATGGTATTGTTTTCTTTGCTGCTGACAGCTCCATTTATAGCAATTAACAGCATATTTGGTAAATGATAACTGAACCACTGCAGATTAATACAGACACAATTGAAAAGCAGGTGGATAAATATGTAAGATTAGTAAATTTTGTTCAGAAAACTAGGATGTTACTTGGTATAATGTTTTATTATGTTAGCTTTTTAAGCTATGTTTTTCTAATAATTTAATAATAATAAAATTGTGTGTACGTGGAGCTTGTCAGATCAGCAAGGAGGGCATTGGAATAATCCAGCCGGGAAGTGACAGGTGACCTCAAATAAGGCATTATCCTATTCATTAACAACTTTAGCATAAAGACAGTAAGGTACAGTCAACCTGCTCAACATCGACATCTCCTCAAATACGTTCTTGTTACAGTTATTTCCAGGGGTACCCTGTTGCTATGCAAAAACACAGGCAAATATCAACCCCTTCCCCCTCAAAAAAAACCTTCTTAAAATCTTCTACTTTATTGTTAGTTGTGGCTCCATATAAACAACTAAAATCAATGTTACACACACGTACCTGATTCAGCAATAGAGCGTGGTTCTAAAAATCAAGCAGCATGAAAGGAAGCCATGAAAGAAAAAAAGGAAAAAAGTATTTTGAGTAGGATTTAATTGTTTGTACAGTACAGTGTATTTGGATTTGTGCAGTAATTAATTACAGCTATGGTAAGAAACACATACTTTTCTGTAGGATTCGGAAATCAGGAGAATCTTCTATTAAGGTTTCCTCTCTGTACCATTCCATTTTAGGGAATGGTACACCTTTCACTCTGCATTCCAACACAACCAGTTGTCCTTCTGTGGCTGTTACATCTTGCAGGGGCTGCAAAACATGTACATATTTCTAGAGGCTCAGATTGTTCTCACCAAACAATGATATTCTTTCTGCACAATTTTATTTATCTCTTCTCCTGTCAATGCCCTACTCACGTTAGGATACAGAAGCATATTTGAATAAAATAACAGTCAGAGCTCTGATCAGTATACATTGCACTGATTTTTTTTACACAAGATGGATAAATAATAATAATAATAATAATCCTTGCATTTGATATCGCGCTTTTGACGTCGGGAGGACGTCCCAAAGCGCTTCACAGAACACACTGTAAAGTGAATTGACTGTATATTTGTGGGCGAACGCGGCAGCCAATTGCGCACAGCTATGTCCCACAAACAGTCGTAGATTGAAAATGACCAATTTATTATTGTTGTGGGTTTTGGAGGGATTATTATTAGGCGTGTGGAGTAAGGAAACTTGCCCAAGGTTTAACCCTTCCTGGAATTGAACTCAGGTCTCTCGCTTGCAAAGCGAATGCTCTAACCACTGAGCTACAGGACTCCACAAATAATAATAATAATCCTTGCATTTGATATCGCGCTTTTCACATCGGGAGGACGTCCCAAAGCGCTTCACAGAATATACTGTAAAGTGAATTGACTGTATATTTGTGGGCGAACGCGGCAGCCAATTGCGCACAGCAATGTCCCACAAACAGTCATGGATTGAAAATGACCAATTTATTATTGTTTTTTTGGGTTTTGGAGGGATTATTATTAGGCGTGTGGAGTAAGGAAACTTGCCCAGGGTTTCGCCCTGCCTGGAATTGAACTCAAGTCTCTCACTTGCAAAGCGAGTGCTCTAACCACTGAGCTACAGGACACAAATGAAAGGAATATTGGAGTACAGAAACAATGCAATCTAATACCTGTTCCAAATAAATACTTTCTGTGAATAGAAACAGATGACAAACAGATATACCATACAGGAGTTACAATATTTACAATATTTTAAATAGGAGTCCTTTGAGTATTTCCGTTCTTCAGCTTCTGAACACTTCAATCAACTATCTTGGATTCCTATCAACTACAAACCTCAGACACATTCAAAGAAATGAATCATGGGTGAAATAATATAATTGAAACAAGTCATTTTTATTTGAACTAAGTGAATATTTAATTAAGTGAATTAATTTTAGCAATTAATTTATTATTCATATCCCTATTGCCAACAGTGCCAACCAAACAAGAGAGGCATTTACTCTGAGATGCCATCTCCACATGCAGAGAGGCACATTATAAAATGCTCCTCTGAACATTTCCGTATCTATTCTATCTAAAATATGAGTGGTTTTAATTGTACCTAAAATTTTTTAAATTATGTATTGTTTTGAATCTATATGCATTTGATCATCCCCATTGCACTAGAGTCCTTGACTCTTTTGAACAGTTACTGAAATGTCCTCATTGAACTGTATTTCAGGAATGAACTGTGCTACAAACTAGTTTCCTCTGAACAAACTGAGACTATTAATAGCCATGAAAGAGAGGATGCTTGATTCACCTGGAGTGAATTTTGCAGTTAAATCCCAGTGGTGAAAAGACACAAGTTCAACCAGCTGCTGCATAAGTGAGCCATCCCATACCAAGTGGGTACAAATCAACTCATGGATCACACATCTGCAAACTGTCATGAATATTCACTATCATTCACAATACCTTCGTAAAAACTGGAGCAGCCATGAGAGGTAGCCCATCCAAGCCTTGGAGGAAATTAGTGGGGCTTTGTATCTAGTATAAGGATAATATATATTATTAAACTTATAAAGAGAAAACATTTCTATATTTTTTTTAGTAGTTGAAAGAAAGCCAATGTGGACATGTTTGGTAAGTTTAGTATAACTGTATACATTTTAAAATATGTTTATAATGATAAATTACTAATCATAGAAGGATACACATTAGTTGCACTTAATATTTGAATTTCTTATGACATATTTCTGAAATTAGTAGTAACAAGAAGACAGAACTTGTGTTTAAGTGCCCTGAAGATCCACTTTACCTGCTGAATGGGTTGTGACAGAGGAAGTGGTTGCGACAAAGGCTGGGCGGCTGTTGGATGTATCTGTTCTACTTCTGAATGAACAGCTTCAGTATTGGAAGCATTAGTTGATTCTTCAAAAGGAACTGATATGTTGTTCTCAGCTCTGCCCAAAAAAGAAAATTTCCAGCAAAATTGATCTAGGTTCCTGACTGCATAGAATTACTATATATAGAATGATGCAGCATAGAAACAGGTCACTCCAACTAGTCTGTGCTAGTGTTCATACTCCACACGATCCCCTATGCCTCCAATTTTCCTCTCCTATACCCTGCTATTTTCTAGATGGATAGACTGCGTTCCAGCATTAAGTTACTTTTAAGTTAACACAAACTGATAACCATTTAAAGAGAAAAATAAAGTACAAGGGTTCCATCTGTTACATTTTGTTTTTGAATATTAGTAAAATATTACTAAAAATAATATCCTACTTGACTGCCTCTGTACTTGTACATCAAAACTACAATGTAATAATTTAAATGTCATGCTCAAATTTTTATGTATACATTACAAAAATTGATTTGCAATTTAGAATTTTTTTGGGTTCTCGTTCAGTTAATTCCCTTTTCATTTCTGAAGCAAGAGTACTTTAAAGATCAAATGCAACGGTTGACTGCAAGCAGTAGTTTCATATTATTGAAATTTGACATGTCCCATAAAGACATTAAACACTAAGGTAGCCAACATAATATTTATCAATGAAATGATACAAGTTTAAAAAATAAATTTATATTAATTTTTAACTTATATTAATCTTTAAATGCTGCTGAAAGTGGTCCATTCATACGCACTTACTGAGTCACATCGTCTTTTGAAGAATCTAGCTCAGATTCAGATGAAGAGACACCTGTTTTAAAAAGAAAAGTGAAATGCCAGTTTTCCTTAAATAGCAGCAACACTTGTACCAACAGGTCAGGATACTTGGTGATGGTATTGGAAAGGACTGCTAATCCATGAGGGAACACTGAGGCCAGCATTTATGTAACTTTGAGTCAGCAGAGGTGGACAGTTACCAACAGAGCTGGAAAATTACCAACATTTCCAACAATTGTGTCACTTCTTATTCAGTCTATCATGAGTTCCACTTGGATGGTTTAGGAAGGAATTTCTTCTCCTTTTCCTGCTTTTCCCAACTCTTGCCCCACCCCTTCGTCCCATTGCACATCGCCCTGTCTGAAACTTATCTTCTGAGAGGACAATTGTGAATGTTAATTGATTTGAACTTATGTCAAGTCTCTAATCAGGAATATTTTGTTACACTGGGTTACAGTTAAACTTACCAGGCCACCCAGTATGTTTTAAATTTTAAGTTTAGGATTGTACATAGCATTTGATATAGTTATTGCTAAAGCCTTTATTATACAGCGTCACCCAAACGAAACATGTACAGTACTACTCCAGTTAAAGCACAATTCTTTTAATATCACCTTCAATGTAAATTTCTGCAGACGTCGCGTCTGATCCATATATATTTGAAGCCAAGCAAGTATAGCGCCCTGTATCCTCCTCAAAGGCCTCAGAAATGATCAGTGAGTACCGATCACTGTCGCGAACAATATGAAGATCTGGCGAATTCTGGAGCTCCTTCCCTTCACAGTACCACCTGCAAGGAAATATTCCACTGATGAAAATGACATCTACAAATAAGTTAACAAAACAAATCAGATGGTTACATTTCCGAAGACCCACAGTAGGCAGTTCAAGCAAATGAGAAATTATAATTGTTACTCCTTGCAAAATAGTTTACTGTAATTATGATGTGCAACCTGATATTAACGACAGAAAAAAATCAAATTACAGCTGTCCTGCTCTGTCTGACACTAATTCTAATGTGCTCTGAAATGTGTGCTGAAACCTCACTGCAATCATCAACATCATATTTTCATTCAGAAGTTGCACTAAATGCATGTATACAATGTGTACATTTTACTGAATAACTTAAAGCATGGTGTATGGAACATTTTTGTTTTTTTACTTATATGAGTATTTTGACAAAATAAGAAAACCATATCATATTCATAGATAATTGCAGATCAGATTATTTGATCAACCCATCAAGTTTCTTTCGACTATAAACTAAAATGCCTGGGAAGTCCATTATCTTTATTATCAGCCAAATTTCAAGCATCCTCTCAACATTTCCTCTAAATAAAAACAATTGAAACTCATAAATATGAAAGGGAAAGACTCTGTATCTATCTCTTTGATCTATAAGTGCTTCTCCGATGGCGATCCCTGCATCACTATTCCCTCAACCAGCAGACAAGCTTTCAGATCCTTTGCCTTTCAGAAGAAAGCTCTCTGTTACTTTCTTCTGAAATCCTTCTCCGCCCTCCTCTATGCTTCAAAAGCAATCCAAAGACTCTTTGACTCTACTTTCGATGACCTATCCCTAGGTTGGACTAAAACTCAGACTTTTTAAAGTGCTTTCAGCCATTTCCCCTCCATGAATGTCGGTGTAAATTGTTGTTGCAGTTACCTCACAGTGACAGACCATGGTATTGATGGTTAGAAAAAATAATTTTACTCTTGGTTTACATTTCTAGAATTCGGATGCTTCACTTCTATATCAATAACTCTATTGAGTTCTCTCAGTAAAAGGTAGCTTATGTTTGCTCAAAATTAATCCTCCTTACTTGAAACAATAGAAAGGTTAAAGATCTAATAGAAAAACAAGATCTATTTGTATTTACAGTATGTAGTGCACTGGAAATAAGTTAATTTTTCAGATTGGTACCTTACAGCATTGAACACTAAGCAATATAATACATTAGCGTTATAATAAAATATACAATGCATTTAATAGTGATGCTTTGTATTCGAAGATCACTGCAGTAAATTTATGTTATGGTTTTACCATTTATTATTCAAAAGTCTGGACTGCTTAGAATTTTTTTGATGTTTGTACGTTACTGCCAATTCAGAATGAACTTCACTAACATGAACAGTGAAATGTGCCTACATGGACAGCTGCAAGGGAATATAAAAAGAGTCTGTGATTTGTAATCGGAAAAATTGAGTCACATCCTCGGTGAAGCTTTCAAAGGTATTGACTTATGCTTTGCTGCAACTCATTCCACCAATGAATACTGCAATTGTCAATACTATTACGGATTCAAAAACAGCAATGCAGACTCCTAACTTCTCTGAATGCTTAAAGTGCTTTGTTGTCCATGGTGTTTCTGGAATGTGAATGTGAACTATATTTGTAAAAGTTATTTCATTCTGTAATTCATGTCCATTTAAGTATATCATCCATCTACAGTTCAGATTCAGCAGCATTCTGGTATTTATACTACAGGAAAATAAAATAATGAAAGATGATATATTGTGTGACACAGTCCACAGAAGCATTTGTTGACTGAATAGTGCAATTCACCATGAATGTCTATAGACTCTGCAATGTATATACGAACAGGAAGAGGTACTTCAGTCCATCAACACTATTCTGCCAGTTTATTGAACCGTGACAAATTATCTTAATCTAATGTTCTTATCTTTTGTCCATATCATTTTTTCCATTATTTCCTAACTATTTATCTCCCTTTTAAATATCCTAATTGATTCTGTCTGTATGACCTGTATGAGGCAGGGCATTCAATCTTTTCACAACCCCCTGAATAAAACAACGTTTTCTGATTATGTCTGGTTGTTATGAATTCCTCTACCAGAGGGAAGAATCATGCACTACCAAGTTTGTCAATTTCCTTCATTATTTTAAACATTTCAATTTAAATTGCAGATAAATGGATAATTAATCGATGTTATTTTATTTGTTGTGTGAAGATATTTCTGTTATGTCAATCGTAATGATTATATTAGAGATCTATCACTAGAACGAGAAGCAATATATTTTGTTATGCAGCACCAGATTACATCAATACATGATTAACACATCTTTCACACTTAGAGTTAGCAATTTGTAGGATGCATATTGTTCTGAGTGAAATAATAAACAAAAGTTATATAGGTTAAAGAGAAGAGCATTGATACTTGACCAAAACAATATATATTTTGGAATATTCTGTGGTCAATACAGAGTCAAACATCAATGATCACAAAATGATATCCTGGTGCTTGTGTAATTGTGCAAAGGGACACATACGTCTGTAAATAATGTCCTTGTCTCACCTTCACGATGAATTTGAAGTTCAAAGGAACAGTGATATATGTGCCAGCAGCAAGCCATGACATCAGAGATACAATTCATTCATGACTCTTCACTGAGTGCTCATTGTCTATTTTTACAACCCATTTGTGGTTAAGTACTAATTATATACAGTACTATTCATACACCAAATGTAATAGGGATTTTTTCTTATTCTACTGAATTTCCCAGAAGTGTAATCTCTAAAGGACAGCATCACTGTCTTTTATTTTCAACCTCATAACTCAGAGAGATTTCAATATAGAGCTCAAGGTTTCATAAATAATTCTTGCCTCATTAAAGCCATTGCACACCTTCCTTGGCAGAAATAAAGTTGCTATTTCTGAATCCAAAAACATATCCACAAATCAGTAGGTCTGAATAGATTTTCAGCGAGACGTCAGATGTCTTCTGAATCATCTTAGTGAATCACTTTGTACTGCTTTTCACTTCCTCTATTTAACAATACATGCCATTCAAACACTTTCAATCATCAAGCAATACCTGGTCTATTACAGCAAAGCCAGTTGCAACTTAAAGCTCCCTCCATTCTCATTCACCAATGTGCACAAGATATTCACTTAATTTTCTCAGCACTAGACACATAATTTCTTCATCAACTGTTCAATTTCCTCTCTAGCTGATATTTTGAGTGTTTTCAGATGATAATAGTACAATTATGGTGCCTATTTGTTCAACGTGATCTAGGGGGTCAAGTAGTTTCAATCCAGTTTCTCATCTGATCAAACCCAAGGCACCAACACATAACACCAACTGAAGGCACAACTCATGCTACAAACCCATACAAAGATACAATGCAAATTCACTCAGATTATAGAGCAGCTGGTATGAAAATGAGTAACAACAACAACAACAACAACAAGATTCCATTTATAAAGCGCCTTTCACGTCAGGAGGACGTCCTAAGGCGCTGCACAGTTGGGTCAGGATACTATTATACAATACTATTCAGTAATAGAGTAATTACTTTGGACTAATAGAGCACTCGCCTTGCAAGCGAGAAACTTGGGTTTGATTCCCGACTGGGCGAAATGTTGGACACGTTTCCTTACTCCACACGTCTCTTTTTACCTAGCAGTAAGTAGGAATCTGTTTATTAGTCGATTGGCCTCAAGCAAAGCCTTTTCCATGGGTAATAATTCCTTCAAAAAAAATTTTTTTTTTAAATGTTACATTTGTCACTTCAATCCATGACTGTTTGTGGGACACTGCTGTGCGCAATTGGCTGCCGCATTTTTCCCAGAAAATTTACAGTAAATTCACTTTACAGTATATTCCTTGAAGTTCTTTGAGGCATCTCGAACACATGATAAGGCACTAGATCAAATGCAGGGATTATTATTATAATACACATTGGTGCAGTATGGAATATTTTTCTGACCTTGGGCTAAAGGCACAAAGCAGAATAAAGGGATTTTTACTGTGATTGGAATTAAGTCCAGCGTGAAAAACAAAAGTGTTGCATTTCCCTTCCTCTATTGATACCCTCCACATCAAAAAACACAAATTTTCTTTTTCATTCTCCCTAAATTGACTATTCTTCAAAATCCAGTGACACAACTCTGCAGAGGGCACTGCATGTTGCACAAGGCATAAACAAATGTATTGTGTAGTCTGTAGTGCCATCTGCAGCATTTTTAATTGAATAGCATTCCAGTTTTGAAAATGCTGTGGTTTGGAATCAGTGAAATGTTAACAAAGTAATCAGCCAGACTGCTTTGTTAATATTTAACTGGTGCCAAAAGTTAAATGTCAACAATTTAACTGGATCCTCAGGAATATAAGAAAGAAAATAGTTGAAGCTTTGGTTAACATATTTGGACTTGTACTTGACAGGAATTATCCAAAACATACGATGCAATAAGCGGCTAAGGCAGAATAAATTGTGACCAGCAGAGGAATAATTTAAGCAGGACTGAGATTGTTTTTTCCTATCCTTGAAATTGAATATCTCACTATCAGATGATGCTACCTCCAGTGGAAACGAATGAAACTCACTTATCTGATGTCAGTAAATCTGAACGATAGCTCTATATTGAGAAAAACACTCATTTTCTCTATCATCTCACCCATCAACAATAACATCTATTGGCCAAGGAAATATACGGCCTTTGCAGTCTGTTAGTTCAGCCAGATTCAAGCTAAACTAGAAGTATTAAGTATGCAGTGGTTGAAATTGGAGATAAATCAAGATGGAAACTGGGAAACATAAAACAAAAAATAGCAGATGAAACTGTTCAACCACCAACACCAAACTATTTTCAGACCACAAAACTGATTTAAAAAATTAGATATTTGAAATTGGTAAATAATAATTGAACTGATTTAGAGCTCATATTACATCATTTAAACTGATTGATCAGTTCATGAGAATTAAAAGCTGGTAAAATGAGCAAATTTCCCAAAATCGTAGGATCCAGCTTTTCAGTCTGAGG